AAGTGCCTCCTCTTGACCCAGCCGTCTGCGCGCCAAAATGGGTCAGTCTTAAGCATTCCAGGGGCTTCCCAACTGATAAGTCATTACCTACACTGGTGACCGCTGTGTTCAGTGGAGTGGATGATTTCTCATCTGGGCTGGGCTTCGACAGGAAGAGCCGGATGAGGACGTAGCTCCTGGCGACGAAAAGGACTGGCCATGAAAGCATACCTCTTGAAGTCGTTGAAATGATGTTCTTGATCGGAAGGCCCCGCAGTTCGGCCATGTTTCTGGAGCTTTTGCCGTGTCGACGCTTCTGACAGCGTGCAAGTCCCACAAGACTGGCATGCTACGATGACTGACGCAGCCCAGAGGAACTCCCTGATTTTGGCCGCGATGCTAAGGCCCAGCTTCCAGGCATTCTGTGATGGCCTGCGGTGCAGTGGCTACCGCGCACCGGTGCAGAAGTTGGCTGCGGAAGGCTCTCATGAGTAGTGGGGATACTATGGTACCCAATAAAGAGTAAGATTATATCCTCCTTTTGTGGTATAGTATTTTATATAAAGAATATTATCTTACTAGGTTCCCAGGCATGCCAACGATAATCGCCATCCTCGCCTCAGGAAACCCTTGCGCGCCAGATGCCTCGACTGCGCCTGTGACTCCGCCACATGGCGAGGCTGCTGGCCAGACTTCCCCTCGTAGTAATCCAAAGGGGTTATATACAGAGACAATGGAAAAGAAAATGGAAGCTACAACATTATAATAGGGTATATATGGGGTATATATACGGGGTTTATATAGGTGTTATATGGGGGTTATATAGAGATAACGGAAAAGAGAATGGAAACTACTGTTATATTATATATAAGGTTATATTGGGTTGTATAGCGGTTATATTGGGGTTATATTGGGATAACGGAAAAGAAAATGGAAACTACTACATCATAATAGCGTATATACAGGGGTTGTATAGGGACAGTGGGGCCGGGGTGGATTAAAAAAGGGTATGGGACGGGAGGGGATTACTGTACTACTGAGCTTGCAACCAGGAAAGAGGAGCCTTTTGCGGTTGCACATGTTTTCCGGTCAAAATGTTGCCGTGAAAACATGTCCCATCAGATCAGCATTTCTGTGCTTGCTGCGTCGAAGGGACTTAATAAGCTAGTATTAAATATCATGAGAGAATGGGAAACTGAAATCCTTTCAGACTGACCCCCCCGCCTCCCCAGATCCGCCATAAACCCTTCACTCTAATCCGCTGAACGTCCATATAATCGGCCTGCATGCCTAATGTCTCTCGACATAGTCCCTACTAGAACTCTGTGAAACCAACCTCATATTCTGTGAGAGAACCTAGAATCCATGGTAGTGTACGGCAGTTTCTTTTCGAACATGTGAGCGGAAATCTGAGTGGAAAGACAAAGTATCGTGAAGATTGGCGAACCGCTATATGCTGTCTTGATCTCCCATGCCTCTTTCCATTACTCAGATGTAGGTGTTTCTCAGCATTACCCCCTGTAAAATCCTTAATGGGGATCCACCCATGCCTTTGTAATCCTCCCAGGGCCCCTAAGGGCCCCCTCCTTGGTAGTTTCCCAAAATAGGGGGACCCAACATGGACCCCATATTACTATAATCCTTCTTATAAGGATCCCCCAAAAAGTTACCCCTATATAACCCTCATTTAACCCCTATATGGTAGTTTCCCAAAATTAGGGGACCCCAATATAGACCCCAATATACTATAATCCTTATTATGGGGACCCCCAAAAAGGTACCCCTAATTTTGGGAAAGCCCCATATACCATTTGCGAAATTCCCATGTCCTGTGGGAGACAGGTTTGGCCTCGACTCCGCAGCGCGGCGCGGCGACGGGGCCCAGGCCAGGAGTTTGGGACTTGGGATGATAGGATTGAGGAGATTAGGGTTTTAGGGTTTATGGTTTAAGAGTTGAGGCTTTGGGAAGCACAGCTATGCAGCTTGGGATTCCGGAGGGTTCAGGACTTGAGGTTCAGGAGTTGGGTTGTAGGATTGACTCAGGAGGTTGATTTTTGTGTAGCGTAAACGACTTAGGACTTAATGTGCACCTGCAGCATCAATAAATTGGGTGGCCATAAAATGTATCCACCGGGCCCAAAAACGGAAGATTACTTTTGCTTTCAAACAAGTTCGCAGTGCGAACAGCTACAAACAACTTCGATCGGCAACCATGATGGGGTGACCATAACAAGTCTCTGTGCCCTAGTATATCCCGCTCCAGCTCGATGCTCTTCTACTTGTACTACAATGCGATTTGCGGTGCAGGATTTAGGCTTGGAGAGGTGTGTAGGATTTGGGCTGCAGGATTCAGCATGCAGGATGCAGACTTCAGGATCTTAGGTTCTGCTTGGTGTTGATTGAGGATTGAGAGCCTGCAGCCCAAAGAGCCCAAAGACAAAAGTGATAACACTAAGTGGTTGTAGTACCGTCTCTTCACTTGATGGTTCCTATGAACTATGGTCTCAACTTCTTAATGACTGTATAGGAGAGAGTATTGTAGGGGCTTTTAAGGGGAAGCCTAGGAGTTTAGACCATAGCTCAGATGCTGAATGTTTGACTTCGCCTGTTGCAGTATTAGAGGGCTACGCAGTTGCTCGTGAGCCTGTAAGGGCTCTGCTGGGCTGAGGTGCAGCAGAAGCCCTAGCTGCAGAACTCGATGCAGCAGCGACAGAGGAGTTGGCATGAAACTGCACCTACATGAGAGTTTTCAAAACTGCGTCTGGGGATCCTTAGCAGGGACTGCCATAATCCCTTTGTAACCCCCCTGTAAGCCATAAACCTTCAAATGCCCTACATGAACACAGGAACCGCACAACAGCCGGTTGCCACAAGTTGTTGTGTCAGCTCGCTACGCTGCAGGATGCGCAGCGTTGGATTGGCGCCGGTGCACGACAGGGCAATGCAAAGGCTGTGGGTTTAAGGGCTGGTGTTCGGGATTCGTAGTTTGGCAGCAGGTCATATTTGAAACCTCCACGTCTGGTTCTGGGAAATGACCTAGCTAGATGAATATCCGAGTACTATGAAGGCTGTTCCATCGTTCACGGCCCTTCACGCAGCCGCGCCAGCAGCCAAGGGGTGGGTAAGGGAAGACACTCAATTCATTTACACCTCCATTGAGCTTGGAGTTCGATTATGATAAAGGGCTGCGTGCTTCTCATTGGTGTGCAACGAGTGGACTTTGTAGAGTGCAGAGCTGCCAGTTTGGATAGATGTGAAACCTCTGAGCAAGAGGCAGGCGAATGCCATCGAATGCGTCCAGCTTTTGCTCGAGCGCCGAGCCATGAACCAAGATTAGTTCCCAAGCGAAGTCAGTCATGTCCAATCTGATATCTACCCTGGCAAGTATTGCTGTCGCAGTCCTGCGCATCTTTCTGACACCATGCTTACATACAGGAGCTGGCTAGCGTCACTTCCCAGTTCATATCTGCACAAGCTTCTACTACTACCCTAAGCTTCTGGGCGTCCGAGTCGTCAACAAGTCCGGAAAGTTTTCACAATCCAACCCGTGGTCACTACCCAAATCATCACACCTCCCACGTGGCCAAAAGCTAAGCAACTCCCAAACATCATCGTCTCTGGGGGACGAACCCCAAAGCTCTGAGTTGACCTGGAATGTCCATGAATGTCCCAGCAATGCCCTTAGTGGTCAAGTTTGTATAGACCTACTTGGTAGTTTCCCAAAACAGGGGGACCCCAATATAGGCCAATAAACATTATAGTCCATTATAGTCCTTGTTATGGGGCCCCCCAAAATGGTACCCCCCAATTTCTATTTAACCACTTCCCCTTTAAAGGCACCCCTTATTTTGGCAAACCCCGCACTCCGGGCCAGTGCTCAAATGGAAGATTTCGGCCCGAGAAGAGCGCGCAGAGTAGCACGAAGTCTGTACCATCGTGGCTCGGCCCACATGCCTGAGATGCGCAGAGCTTGGATCATGCAACATGAAGAAAATTGATCGCAGATGTTGGCTTGCTGTTGCCATCAGTGCTGAAGCCCCTTTGCAGGTCTCGCGAGCAGGATCGGCTGGTGTTGCTCTCCGGGTGACACCTGGTATGGCTTGCAAGCCTTCACGCCTCCAGGACATCTCGGACCATGAGCGCTACAGAGGCAGGATTAAGTCCTGGGGGCCGGGCACGCCCGCCACCCAGACCTTGACTTTGTAAGGCACAGCTGTCTTCAAGGTGAGAAGTGCGGCCTAGGTTGTCCCACGTGTGTGTGACATGTGTGGCAAGGTTTGGCTTTATCGAATGCCCGGAGCTGGCTTCCAGATTCAAGCGCGACGTCTACGTGTCGCAAGCCGTGTGGTTCTCGGCCTCACCAACGCGGACTGCAAACAGATTGAAGCCTCTTGCCAGTAAGGAGTACAAAGATTGGGCGATCGGCGCACCAGTCAGCTTCAGTCTTGTGGTCACCGAGCAGCGTCACGGCCTCGCCCACCATTGATTCTCAGCTGGCTTAGTAACATGTCGTGACGCAGGCAAGCCCCAGGCGCGAGACGTCCGCGAAGAACTTGACTCCGACGGCTCAGCCCCGTCGTCCTTGCCTTGCGAGGTGAGTTTGCCAGGAAAATGCAGCAGCTTTTGACTTGTGAGGCCAGCGAGCATTGGCAGCTGCAGCCTGAGTCATGCGCCTTTCTTCTGCATATTTCCTCTTTCTGGTTTGGGGTTGTCTGCAGGGAGTTCTGCAGATCTGTGCCGGCCTGGCACACAAGATGCAGCCGACGAGGCCCTGCAGGACCGTCTGGAGTCCTGGCCTCGGCCACAGAGAGACCGGGAAGCTGCATCCCTTGCTATCTTTGTTTGGTTGGAGCCTCCATCTAAATCCACAGCAATCAGTACAATGAACAGCGCGGCAGATGATGCCGGTTCTCGGATCGCCACCCCTCCCCAATGGTATCACTCCCACCCCGCTCCCCACCCCCCACCCCCAAAAGCTTCAAAAGTGTCAACGGTCACAGGGATGGGGCCCCGGCCCTTTGGGGTCGCCAACCTCGTAAATGTTGTCGTCTTTGATGCCTCAAAGCCGCCATCCTTGCAACTGTCGTCACTTTAGCCCCTCGTGCTCTCGTTAGGCTTAAACAATACCAACAGTCACAGGGATCGAAAGTCACAAGGATCAGCTTGGGGGGACGAGCGAATCCCTTTGCTTTTGTGGTGAAGAGAAAGTTCAAATGGAAGTACCGCAGGACTGGCCTCAATCCACAGATGCTATTGCCGTGCAGCGCTGAGGCCAGCCCCTGTGTCTAGGACTTCCAGCCAGTCCAGCCAGACTCTGCCGGGCCAGTGGGTGCGAACAGTGTCCACCAGCTGGGCCGACATCGTCGACGAGGAGGAGGACCTCTTGGGGCACTTGGCTAGGGAGGCGATGCACCTGCCTTACTACGAACAGTTGATGAGTTTATTGGCCGTGACGTGGAAGGACCTTGCACCCGCATTGGCGCCAGCTGGGATGGAGCCTCCAGAGTCCGAGACTGGCGTACGCGACTGCGCGAGCTTGATCAAGGCCTTTGTGCAACGTGTAGGGCGGGGCGTGGAGAGAATGCTAGATGCCAACCTGCCAGGAGTACAAAGTGGACGCCGGCCTGCAGGGATTCCAGAGGTCGTACGCCCTGGAGACCGCCATCGCGGACCAGCATGGCGAGTCCATGCAGGGGCCTGCTGCACAAGCTGAGATCGTAGAGGTCCCCACCCAGACCTATCTGGAGCAGCAGGGTAGCAGGCCGGCGCACGCGGGAGCTTGATAGAACTGTCGAGCTCTGGTCTTCTTGGCGCACGGTTACATGCCAGGCTTTTGACACTTCCCCTGACCTACCGGACCAGGGTAGGCCTGGACCTCGTCAACTTGTGTTCTTGCACGATCTTGATTTGTGACAATGTGCGCAGCTGTGCGCGGCATCTGTTTGTGTGGCCTCTGTAAGAGAGTGATCGCGCCTTCCAACCTCTCACTGAGTGCAACTGAGGTGAAGATGTGATTGAGAAAACTCCCGATGCCTGGGAGGTCCACACATGTGTCTTGCATTGTTGCAGCGCGGCAGATCTTGGATTGCAGAATATCTGTGCCTTGAGGGAGAGGGCATCGAGGGCTTTGGATTCCCATGCAACGAGGTTCGCCGGCAACACCCAGTTGTGAGTGGGCCGCTGGATGTTGAGCCAGGAGCACCAAGTAGCAGCCCGGCCAGCAGAACTCCCGCCAGCGCACCATCCGGTGCCGAAGCGAGCGATGCACGTCCGCATGGCTGGAGCCTCAACATTGGATGATTGACATTTGAGTCATCGGGCTCTTCGCCGCGGTGGTGCCGGCTTTCATCTCTTTGCAAGGTGCAGGCTACCGTCGCAAGGCTCAGCAGCTGCCTGCTTTTGGGAAGCCCCGCCAACCTTGAGAGTCTTAGCTTGAAGCGAATCTGCCGGAAGGGTGCATGCTGCCTGTGCAGCAGCCGCGGCTGCGAAGCAGTGCGAGGCTTTGGAGGCCTGCGCTGAGTGATGGTCGGAGATGTACGTTCTGATGGCAATTTTTCACTGGGCTTGGCAGGAGCGGAAGAAGCTCCTGGGCTTGCCTCCCCTGGACGAAGCGCCACCGAAACCAGCATGGCCATCGAGTGTTGTTCAGCCTCGCCACCTGCAGCCTTGGTCAGGGTCCCAAGCCCAGGGCATGCAAGCGTCAGCAGGGGTGTTGGCCCAGCCGCAAACCGGCGTGCCAAAGCCGCCGCAGACTCAGTTGTCTTAGACTTTGCTGAGAGAGTGCCTTGACATCTTTTCTCTAAGGCCCAGTGGCCCTCCGCCTGCCAAGCTGCAAGAGCCGCCGGGGCCTCCAACTGAGCCGCAGAGCGGCCTGTCGGCCAACGCTCCAGCTTTCCAGCCTGGCTATGCGTGGCACCAAGCACCGCCCACCCAGTGCCCAGTGGCCACGTATCCCTGTCCCGAACACGGGGACCAACGCTGCCACCAAGTGCCGTTGGAAAGGGGCAACATCCTGTCCATGACGCCTTCCGTGCAAGCTCACCCATTCGTTCGTGCCCGCACGCCTTTGCATGCAGCACAACATGAAGGCCCACCGCTTCCGCTGCCACCATCCCAGTCCTCAGATCTTGGGCCCCGTCCAGTCCTTTCCCAAACCCAACAAGCGGCCCGGCACGGAGGCCCCGCACCTGCCCAACGCAGGCAGTATGAGGAACGTCCAGCTCCACACCACCACCAAGCACGGAACTCAAGGCCCCCGGACGTCCCTAACACCCAGCGACAGGTGGCTGCCGGACGCCGGCAACGGCACCCCGCGCAGGAAGCAGAGACCGGGCATTGGCAGGACAGCTGGGGACAGCAGGAATGGCAGGAGCACGAGTGGCATGAGGAGGAATGGCACGTGCAGGATTGGCAGGCAGAGTGGTGGCGGGAGGACTGGAGGGGCCCATGGAGTGACTGGGCAGCCAGTCTGGGCCAGAAACAGGGCAGCAAAGGTGGATGGAGCTCCTGGCAGGCATGAGCAGAGTGCAGAAGCTTTGTGCATCGATCATTTCACGCTGAATGCGCAGCAAGTTGCCAGACGTCGCCAGGAGAGAGGAAAGCACACGTCGAAAGGTTGGGGCGGTGAGGGCATAAAGGCGCAGCAAAAGTGGGGGCCGTAGCCCACATCAATGTGCCAATCTGTTGGCTTTATCTCTATCATGACGGCTCCCAGTGAGGCCACCTCTCCGCCGACGCAAGTTCAGTGACGAGGCAGTACCAGAAAAGCAGGGCCAGCATGCAGCTCTGGCAGGGCGATGGCTGAAGCAGGTTACAATATCCTCTGCGAGCTCCGGTTCCTCAAATTCACCGCCAAGGGGACAGGCGCGTTTCAGCAACAGGTCGTGTTCCCCCTGAGAGCCCCTTCTAGCATCCTCCGGCACCGGCAAGGAGAAGGATGCAATGGGCAAAGGACCCATTGCTTACGTCTGTTGCAGTGTAGCCAGATGCATGTAAGCCTCGCAGGACAGGGCAAAGCAGCCAGGCAGGCACTTCGTCAATTGATCCAACAGCAGAAGCAGCAGGAGGCCCCGTCAGCACGCTGATTGGCGCTCACTCCGTTGGGCAGATGATGCAGGCAGACCACACGAACAAGAACAAGGTGCGGCAGCGCGGTGAGGCACGCGGCCCGGAGATTGCTGGCTGAGTTAGGCGGATCGACCTATCACGTCAGGGTCGCGGCTCTGTTCGACAGTGAGCTCAACGAGGTCGAGAATGCTGTCAACTGTGGACTGCCTTGCTTGTTTTCGCTTGCTTTCGCTGCTTCGGCAGCCAACACTTGAGCCATGTCCCAACAGATTCTGAACACACCCGCCCGAGCAGCCCGGACATGCACTGGTAGCCCGGACACAGCGTAAAACAAATTCCGAACACACCTTAAAGAAGGCCCGGACACGTTTTTTCTCTCTTGGGGAACTCGTACGATGGTTGAAAGGTGTGAATCCTCAAACTTACCTACATGACCTTGGTACAGTTGTCGGCACTTGCACGCACCTTCCTTAAGGCGCTTGCCATGCTTGTTTTAATAATAGTACTAATAATAGTAGTAATAATAATAGTAATAATGATAATAGTAATCATAATAG